AGTTTACATGCCAGTTTAATTGTAAAATAAATTTTTTTACCTAGAATTGATATGATATGATGCCAAAATACTTGTTCCAAAGATTTTTTGTTTTAGTGACTCTGTTGTAAATCTTTTTTAGTAAAACAACTCTCATATCCCAATTTATTATCTTTTTATGGATGTTGTTAATGTATGTGCCAGTGCATATGAATAGAAGGAGGATTTGCAGCAGTTGCTTGTGGCCACCATTACCACCATCATCGTTATCATTAACATGACCACCATCACTATTACAAACATTGTTAATGTAGTTGCTGCTGCTATTATTGTTATCGTCATTGTATCATCATTATTGTAATCATAATATAATATTCTGGAGTATTATCTGAAAAACTAGGCCTTAAGCCACCACAGATCTTGAAAGCAAGATCTATATCATGTGGTTGATCTTTGAATGGCTGTTGATGTGTTGATGTTTCTGACATTAAAATCCCAAAGCTATAGATGTCAGATTTTTGTGTATAAGGTTTCTTATTTAATACCTCTGGTGCAATATATGGCAGTACTCCAACTATATCATTTTTACTTGATGTTTCTTGATCAGCTGGGCCTGATAACCCTAAATCTGCTATCATTGTCTCAGATAAATAATCAAAATATAAAATATTACCACTGTGAAGATCACTATGTATAAGTTTTTCTTGATGAAGTGTGTTTAAACCTGAGATAATATTATAAAGTTTTTTAATTTTATCATTCCATCCTGTATAATAATTTAAGTATTTTTTAAAATCTCCTTTAGATGTATATCTCATTGCAAGAACATATTCTTTTGTATTTGGATCTTGTGAAATCCCATAAATATTAACAATAGCCTTGTGATAAGGTCCTATAAATTTAATGTGATTTTGAAGCTTTATGAAAATCAATAAAAAATTAATATATTATTATTTAAAAACTATTAATTAATTGTCAATTAATTATATCAAATTATTTACCTCTTTTAAAAACTCTTCAAAAATATTTTGAGAATTTTTAAACTTTTTTAATGCTATTTCACCATTACTAAAATAATATCTTTTATTATTTTTAATATATCTAGGACCATTTGACCAGTGACACTTATACACAGTTGCAAAACCACATTCACCTATTCCTTTTTTAACTGTGAGTTGGTCATAAGGAATCCATTAAAGGTAATGATAACTATCAAATCCTTTTGCATCAAGCTGTGTATTTCTGATTATTTCATCTAATTTGTCATTACCACTGCTAGTCCAACTTTGAGCTAACAATTTGGGATCACATGATTGACACCACTGGTAATTAGTATTATATCTTGCACAAACAGAACAGGTTCCATATTCTTTTCTTTCTTTAAACCCCTTAGTATTATCTTATTATTTCATTATAAGAAATTCAAAATAAAATAGAGTTATTTTTCAACATAATAAAAATAAACATTCATTTAAAACATATAAAAAAGATAAATTATAAATTATTTCACCTTCAATTGTTATTATAAGTGCAAAAAAATAAATTTATTTAATTAGACAATGTGTTGTAAAAGTTATTTTATAATATAATATAATATAATATAATATTTACCAGCTGGTTATTATGAAGAAATAAAGAATATTTAATTTAGATGATATAAAAATTTATTTTGTGTTAGTAAAAGTTACTTACATGCTGGTTATTATTATTATTTTTCTAGATATAATTAAAATAAATATTGTTAGTGAAGTATTCTCCAAAGGTTAATTGGAAATACTAATAGTGTTTTTGTAATCATAAATGTAAGATTGTTAAACAAGTTATTTAAGTTGTTTTGTAAATCGATTGGCCAGATAAAAGTAAATGACTGAAATAAATTGATCACAAATGAATAATAGAAACTTTATAGAAGCCTTTTAGCTTCATAAAAGAGCCATTTTTATTTATTTGGTACCATTAAATGAGCTTACAGATTTCTAGGTAGAAGAAAAAGGCAGTAAGCAAGAATCAAAGTAGCTTCATTAACCAATTAATTGACAAGCACTGAATTATTTGCAATTAGTCAAAAGTCAAGCTATAAATAACCAAAAGGCTACTGTTTAAAAAATGTAAAAAATTTATTATTTCAAAATATTATAATTTGGCTTTAAGAAAAATAAAATAAAAAGATAGATAATTATAATGAATAAATCAATCCTTTCTTTTGCTATTACTAATTTCCAATGAAATTTTATTCATCTTCAACATTTAAGAGAAAAGAATTAATATCAAGACCATCTAATGAAGTATGGTATGAATCTGAATATAATTCATATGCTTGTTGCAAATCATCACTACTACCACTAATAGTAGCATTATTACTAAAATCTAATGTTTATAAAGTAATTAAAAAATGTGAATAAAAATATTGTTAATAAATAGTAATTTCCAATTAATTGATAAATTTTTATTCACCTTCATTAAAATCAACATTATTTAATAAACCATTACTTTTTAAGCTTTTGGATTTAGAAATTTCTTCATCTAAGATTCTACTTATATAATATGCATCTGGATGTGACTTGTGTAATTGTTGTGAATCACTACTACTACTACTAATATTATGATTATCATTACTAATACTACTACTGACACTACTTCCAACACTATTATCATCATCATCATTATTAAAAACTCCACTTTGCTTATCTCTAGCAAACATATAAAGATCATAACTAGTTGGTCTTTTTGATGGATTCACATCCCAACACCTCTGCATCATTTCTGCATAATCATCAGGCATTTCAGATAATATTGGTGGTCGTAAACCTTCACATATATCAAAAATTAAACAATAATTGTGAGCCCTGTTGTCAAATGGTGGATGACCTGCAAATATTTCCCACATTAACATCCCAACACTATAAATATCAGATTCTTTTGTGTTCTTTTTGCCTCTAAGTAGCTCAGGTGCAACATATGATACAATCCCATAAACTTTATCTGATGATTTTTCATCAACTGGCCCACATAATCCCAAATCTGTAATATAACAATTACCTTTATCTATTAATATATTACCACTATGTAGGTCACAATGCATGAAATTATTTATATGTATATGATATAATGAATTACATAAATAATAAAATATTGTAATTCTGTCTTTTAATGTCAAATTTAAATGATTTTTCTGCAAATAATCCCTTAAATTTCCCTCTGATAAATAATTTAAAACAATTGCATGATTTCCATTATTTGGGAATTTAGTTATACCATAGCAAGAAACAATCATCCCTGATTTAATTTTAAAATAATTCATTGCCTGAAATGAATATAAAATCAATTAGTATTATATAATAAATATTTATTTTTGTTTTAATGATAATTACCAACCTCATCAAAAAAGGCTTTTCCTAGATTATTTGAATCATTTAAATTTTTTAATACTACTTCTTGCTTTCCAAAATAATCAAATTCTTTTTTATTTTCATCATAATCAATTATTCTTCCTCTTGTCCATGTAGCAGTAAAAATTGAACTAAATCCACCTTCAGTTAACTTTGTTACATCATCAAATTGCTCAAAAGGTATCCATTCTAAAATAAATCTTGGCAAAGATGATTTCATTTGACATTGTTGAATAAAAGCATCAACTATGTTATTCCCAGATGTCCAAGTGGTGAAAAGACCCTGTAGTTGTAAACTAATGCAACCTTCACAGAATCTAACAGAATATCTTGTTGATTTACACTTATTACATTCTTTTGGTTTGCCCCATTTATCTCTTGCATTTCTTAATTCAAACTCATAAATAAATCTTTCATTACAATATTTTTTTTCATTTTCAGAAAGCTTTTTGTTTTTTTTGACTAATGAAAAAAAAACCCTTTTTCTTTTTTCTCTGAAAGAATCAACCATTGCATTATTATATATTTCATTATAAATTTTAAATAAAAATTCCTCTCTTTCTGATGTTAAGAATTTAACATGTCACATTATAAATAAATGTTTTTATATGATTTAAATTTCAACTTGGAGAGTAGAGAAAATGATACTTTTTTTGTGCTTGAGAAAAACACTAGTCCGTTTATTTATTGCAATTAATATTATTTCCTTTTGCAGGAAATTGTATTATTAGTATTGACACCCATGACATAAATAATAATAATGTGTTCTAAATTTCTAATTTTTTGCCGATTTCTCGAATTATTTTGATTTTTGGCGCATTTTCACCTTATTTGGCCAATTTTACGTTGTACGTAAAAGAGTGCTTTGCTTGCTATTATCTTATTACATGATGCTAATAATTCGTATTGTTGAAGAGAAGATTTTGCCACTATTAAAAGAAATTGACCAAGTCTTTTTAGGAATAACTCGTAGAATTTTGAAAATAATTGCCATCATTAATCGTTCAAATTCGCCAATGACATTGAAACTTCGTCAGGAGTGAATGAGTACTTTAGAAGAAATAATGAAAAACAAAATGTCGTATTTGTAATATAATTGAATATCATCAAAAAAATTTAAATTATCAACGATTAAAATTTATTGAAAACTATTGCTATCATTACCGAATGCAATGTGGTGAGGGTACACATATACAAAAACTATGCTATTCCTATCTGGGATTGCTTAACAGTTAGTTCCGTGGGAACAATCATCCTCACGTGAATTGCTGTGTTTAAAAATCTGAAAACTTTGTAAATGAAGAGGTGTTTATGATGCCTAATATTATTCTTTTATTATTTATTATAAAACCGCAGTTTATTCTTGCTATATAGCCATATGGACTTATAATTTATTTAGTAAACTGGTGGTGGTACACATTTCCTAAACAAGATTTCTTTAACCAATCATCTTTTGAATTCACATTAATATGATCAGGTGCTCCTTTATTATTATATGGATGGACCAATTATAAGAGAATTAGGGTTATTCAAAGATTCGAAAAAGGTAATGAATACGGAATAAAAAAATTGGTATAAATAAATTTATCTTTCGTTTTCACAAATAGGAGATAAATTTTTTTTAAAAAAAAAATGTCGGAAAATTCTGATTATGTTTTCTTATTTTCTGAATCTAACGCAACACATTTTCAAGATTATGCTGGTTCACAACCACCAAGTTATGAAGAAGCAATTAATGGTTCATTAGACCCCACCAGTGTAACTATTAACCCTTTACTTAATCCCAACAACAACGGGAGAAGTGTTGATGACGATCCAACTAGACAGCAAACATCTGATGAAAATTTACCACCTCCGCCTGAATACAATCTTTCTGATGCTAAATTTAAGAGAACTTCTGAAGGTGTTACCACATGTGAACCAAAGCTGAATAGAGAGCCAGAATCATTATATAGATTCATGCTTGCACATAACGATAAGCCTAACATGGCTATAAAGATACATGGTTATCATTATGAGACAAGGCATTATACCTATACTTACACTGATGCAAATGGTAATATTCAATACGGAACTCGTAGTGAAACTTATGTGGTTACGGATTTTTTGATTACAATAGATTTATCTGAATATGTTTTACCAAATGGAACAATTCATGCAATTCCAAATAAAAAAAATCCAGATCCTCAAATAATGGACATTATCAATGAATACATTAATCATGAAAACAAACTAAAAGAATTTATTATGAAAAAAACAGTATTATGGGACTATCAATCTTTGACAAAAGCAATATCAACGTCAATTCGTCTACATGGATTTCATAGATTTTTGGAAATAACTTATCCACTTCAAAATCATAAAGTAAAAGTTCAATCGGATCATAAATTTGCAAAATTTACCAGAAACACTTTTACACAAGTTTTATGTGTTGTCACCTGTGTTTGTATAGTTTTTTGGCCTTTGTTCTGGTTATATAAAAAATCATTTAAAAACCAAATTAGAAGTGATTTTTGTATGTCCATATCAACAAGAGATTGGTATGATAAACACATATATTATATCCTTGGCGAAATCAGAAATCAATAATTTATTTGTTTGTTTGTTTGTTTATTTATTTATTTATTTATTTATTTATTTATTTATATGTAACCAACAATATTTAAAAAAATAAATGATTTATTAATAATACAGTCAGGGAATATGCTAAATATGGGAAGAAAAATTTGTCAATCAATTCATATATATTACAAATGGTCTAACGTGATACTTCAGTATATGCTTAAACAAAAAATTTTTTTAATAAAATTCATATATAAAAGTCGAAACAAATTCTGAATATATAGCCGAGGATCACTTAGGATCACTGTAAAATTTACAAGATATAATAAGTTATTAATTCTATTAAAAATATATAATAATGATAATGATATAGATTTTTTTACTAACACTATATTGAAATGCTCTTTTAAAATATTAAAAAGTTTAAGTTCTTTATATTGCAAATTGGAAAAAATCTCTCAAGCAAGAATCAGAAAATTAGATGGAATAATAAACTAGAAAAGTTGGAATCAATTTCAAATCAATTTGAGTCATATATGGTCTTTTGACTGAGAAAAATCAAATCAATTAATATTAATTGGGTTCCTGGAAAATTTTGTAAAGATAGTGAATGTTTAGGTTCATCTTGTTCTCCCTTGATATAAGGCTCTTTTAGTTAGCTCTTTGTCAAATATCTTCATCAGATGATGAGATTTTAAAACGAATCAAATTGGTGGTTAATCAAAAAATAATAGATAAATTAGCTTTGTTCTTTAATCCAATGAAGCAGTTAAAAATTTCGGAGCATTATGATACTGAATGGGTAAACAAAATAAGCCACCAACTTGCTAATGATAAAAATAGTGATAATGGTGAAGAAGATTTCATATATAAAGAAGTTTGTATAAGACTTGTTAAAATCTAATGTTGATTTAGTAAATTTTATGGTTCGGATATTGATGAACCCGAAGAAATGAAATTAACAAGTATCTGTTTTCAAAGATTTGATTTAGACATTTTAGAATGACGGGAACCATATCAAAATCAATATTATGTTCCAGTGCACATAGTGAAAGGAAGTTCAGTGCAGCTTGTTTTAACAATAGATGAAATCTAATCAAATTTAAATCCAACAAAATTTGATTAAAATTTATATAAAACCCCATTTTCTAATATATGTGCCTATTCCGGGATTGAATAAGGTTTTGGGTAATTAATACTGTGAAATTTTTTTGGGCATGGGTTGGAATGTCATTCAATGGGGGAAATAGGACAAAATGAAACATTGGAAAAAAATATTTTAGAATGGAATAAAGATAGTTCCATCAGTTGGATTCAGCTAAATATATGGAATAAAAAAATTCATATAAATATGTTTTTTGATAAAGAAGCATAAAAAAGAAATTCTTATGGCAACCTAGATTTTTTTCAAAAAGATCCAAGTGAAAGAATTTGAAAATGAAATGTTTAATTACTAGTCGGATTATATCAAAAGCAATAATATTCCAATATGATTTTGAATTATTCATTTGTGAATTTCAAACATGGTTTTTCAAGAATTGTTTTTGAAAAGTGCTATAACAAACCATAGTTATAATTAAAATTAAAGAAATAGTTGAATTAGTATGTGGTTGCAATCCTGTTTGTTGGAAAGTAAAAAAAAAATCTCCAAATGAAAGGTATTTTTAAAGCTCTGAACAAATCAATGAAATTTGAATCGAATTACCTAATTTTTGTTTCGTTTCATACAAAACTATCGGATATATAAATAAATTAGCATGGTTCTCTTTGGTTTGGATTCGAATCAATATACACAAAATCTAATAAATAAATTAATTAATTCAAATGAAAATTGTTTTGCGAATCTTGTTTCAATGAATTATAATTAAAACTCGTTGAAATGACTATGTCAAAATAGTTATTGATTGAACATATATAATAATACAGAAAGAAGAACTTTCCCATACCTAAATGATACGGAGTAGAGATTCACAATAACGCAATTTTGACCATCCCTATATGTAACTCTTAGAAACCTTAACTGTTAAAGTTTCAAAACTCCATTGAAACATAAATCTTTTTTCATTTTTACGTTATGGTTCTTTTTATTGTCCTGACAAAAAATATCCCGCGCTGGTTTTCATAAATTTGGGTGCGGGAAAGCGTATTCTCCTGTATTAGTATTAGTATGTATTTCTCATCAAAATGCATTCCATATCAAAAATACATTTTATATCAATATAAAAATCTGGACCCACTTTTTTTGAATATGGCTCGATTCAATTCATTCGGAGCCTTGGCTATACGTGTTAAATAATCAGCATTAACCGAAAGACCACTTTAACATTTATAAGAATCAAAAGTTTATTGTAATTATAATTTAGCTTTAAGAAATAAAAATAAAGTTAAAAATAAAGATGATAAATAATTATAAGCATAATAGAAATTCGATTATATCAGAAATGTGATGATCATTTGTGATATATGCAAATTTATATTGTGCTACAATTAATTTCAATTATTTTAAAGTACTTGAGTTACGTTAAAATGCACAAAAGTAGTTAATAGGTAACATGACTTTTTAAGCAATATTGCAAAAAAAAATTATACGATTATTATCTTTAATATATACTCTTTCATTTAAAAAAATAAGATGCAATTAGATGCAATTCAATGAATAGGTTACATATGAAGTAAAATTTACATTTTTTTAACAAAGTGCTTCGTATACAAAGGTAAAAAAAATTTTATTATTATTATATAAAATAAATAATTGAGTAAAACATAATAATACATGTTGGATAGAATGATAAGTTAAATAATAATATGAATCAGATATAAATGAAATAAACAATAATATAATTTACTATTTATATAATAATATATTTTACCATTCATTTACTAATTCAATTTTTCTATTTAAATCAATGTCCAAATTTATTTCAGGCATGACTATATCTTCTTCTTGATCTTCTTCATAACTCTCTTCTTCAATGTCTTCACTTGTTAAAATGTCACCACCTTCATTTAATCTTTCAAGGAATGAGTCAACATTTTTGAATATCCCTTTTTTGTAATATTCTTCACAATGTTTACACACATTTTTCCAACTTTGATAACATTCATAATGATATCCGTGACCACATATCAATACATTTACATTTAGGTTTCCTAAAACTTGTTTACATTTATCACACAAATTAGGCTTTGGAGGAAAAGATGTATGATAGCCTGTTGGAAAGAATCTTATATCAACAGTTTTATTTAGAGCTTCCAATTTGTAAGTTTTAAAATTTTTTTTTGGTTGTCTATCTTTATCTTTATTTTTTTCAAGGTTTAAATAAATCAAGTGGAAATGATCTAATAAAAATATACTGGTTCTATTTGTTAATTCATCCAGGACTGGCTCAGTATATGGATACTTACGATAATTTTTAAATGAGTTGATTGTTGTTTGATCATGAAGATCAAGAACATAAGCTTCATTAATTATAGCTTCTGCTGAATCTAAGGAGGTTGTGTTGGCTCTTATCTGGCTATGTATGTTTTCAACATAATAATCATTAAAATTTACAAGGTATTTTTCAATTGATTCACTAAATGGATGAGAATTCTCTTTCCAATAAAAATAGTCCGATAAGAAGGCTAAAGGTGCTTTATTATAATTTTTTCTTTTCCATCTTAAAGCAAAGGTCCAAATTCGAAAGAGTGTTTCTAAATATTCATTAAATGAACCTGACCTGAACAGAACAGCATAAACATCCAATGTGGAAGGAATAATATTATCTAACAGGTCTATCATCATCCTGTATTCTATATCCTTACAGTTGTTAGGGAATTTATTTAATATTACATGTGATATTTTTTTCCATCCTCTATTTAAAAGATCTAACAAAAAGTTTATTCTCCAAGGTTGAGGCTTTTCAGCCAAAATTTTTTTTGGTCCAAAAAGAGAATGGTACATCTTATTGAAAAGCTCCCAGTAAACTAAAATTACTTGCTCTCTTGAATTTAACGAAACATGTAAAGGACCAATTAAGGGTATAAAATTTCTAATAATAATATTATTAGAATTTTGATTTCTGATATTGGTTATGGCTTTTCTAATAAATAATTGTCCAGGCCAATCAGCTGAAACAGGTATGACATTATTTATTAAATATCTAGAAATACTTTCTATTCTACTTATTGATAACAGAACATCCACATAGTCATCTAATGAATGTAGATTTTTCTGTTGGAATTGAACTATTCTTGTTTCACTCATGGATCTGTCTTGTTTCCTTTCAGCAATTAAAGGATTATAAAAATGAATAGAAAGTAATTCAGTTCTATTGGACTCTAATGATTGTTGTAAGTTTGAAGAGGTCCACCTTATTTTTCTATCATTATAACTTTGATCAAATACTCCTTTGAAATTATTCATTAATTGGAAATTTATTCTATAAGCTTCAATATTGTTGGAATTGAATATGGATATTCCATTATAAATTTCAGGAATTGGGCCACATTCAATTTTTTTTGACACAACAGTTGCCATATGGTTGACAGTGGAGAGTGAAGTAGAATTAGGCTGTCTCCAGCCATGTATAGAGTGGTAATCATCAACATTAAAACAAAACAAATTATTCATCTAAAATTTTTATATACATGATAAGTATTTTAGAAATTAAATATAATTATTAATTGGGTTGTTTATTACTTACATTTTCATGAAAATATTCATTAATTTTTTTTGGATGATCACTTGCTAATTGTTTTTTATAATTCTCAATAGTTTTGTAGCTGGTTGTAATCCCAATTCTAGACAAAGTGTCTATTGCAGTACAACTTGTTCCTGCAGCAACAAGATATAAACCAATATCAAGTTTTACAGAATTTATGAATTTATTACGTAGACCTGCCAGCAAATAACAAAATGCTACAATTGATCTTTTAGCATCATCTTTATTTTTTTCTTTTCTTCCACTTGGAATAATTGCTTCAACCATTTCATTAAAAAAACCTTCTAATCTTTCATCCTGTTGTGTTATCATATCAGAAAATTCCTCAGGATCCAATTTGATATTATTTTTTAATTTTCTTTGCTGATTGTAAAGGATCTTGCTTAAAATTTCAAATTTTGATACAAAGGTAGGATCATTTTCTATTTAATAAATAAATTATTAAATTATTATTTAAATTAATCAACATTTAAAAAAAAATAAATAGATAAATTACCACTATTGATTTCACTATCAAAACTAGAATCTTCATTTTCCTCCACGTAATAGAGTTGATTTTCAAGCTGGAATTTCATTTGTTCTATATTTTTGACTAATAATGAAAAATCTTCCCTTGACATAATAACATTTTCATTGGTATAATTAACTTTAATATCTGGCCACTCCAATTCATTAGTAGACATATTAATTAATTGGCTAGATGAAGATCCACTATATGAATCATCAGTTCTTTGAAAATTTGATTCACTAGAATTTTTGTTTCTGTTATTTCTATCAGGCTCAACTATATCCAGGTAATGTTTAGAGCATAATTGGTCACCCTCTTTTATAAAGTTATATTTATTTTCTAAATCTTTAAATCTTATTTTCTCAATAGTATAACAAGTCATTTTGTAAAATCTATTAGTTCCTTCACAACTGGTTATTGTACATGGTCCTATATTCTTTGCTCTTGGCATAGTTATAATATTAATATAACAAATTTTAGATGTTACGCGATCCCGATTGTTATTTTAAAATAAATAATTGGATTGGTTATTTTTTTAAATGATTTATTTGATGAAATTTAATTAATTTATTTGAACTTGAAATTTCTACAGGATTTATATATTTGAGTTTTTTATTTATTAAATATAAAAAAATTTACATCAAATAAGTCTTTTATACATTATGTATGTGAAAAAAAAAGAAAACTTATTTAACAAAGAGTTTGACATGCAAAAAGAATCAAATTTTAATTTTAACAAACAATCTTTGTAAAAAAAAAAGGAATTAGATTCTGATTTATTATTATACAAAAATGGCAATATTTTATTGTATGCTTGCTTGGAACCAAGAACGAAAAATGGCCTTTGTACTAATCGCAAGTTTCATAAAATTATGTAACACGAAAATCATATACTGAAATGGAAATGTGATAATTGCAAATGTCGATCAAAATAGAATTTCTACTATGCTATTCCACTATGCTTTTCACATATAGAAAATCAATTGATGCGACATGTCCTGTGACTATTACTATTATCGATAGAATTTTGGAATCGGGAACTTCCCGTTATCTACTATTTAAGTTTATTATTATTATGCTTTTTAGATAAACAGCAATTCACATACGGGGGAAAATTTTTTTAACACCAATCTTTTAGAATTCTTTGCCTTTGATGAAACAATTATTAGTTTCTCTATTTTCATTGTTTGTACAATGTCGTCATCATTTAACATTAATATTAACATTATCACAACTACCAAAACATTTTGTTGTGAATCATCATCATTGTTATTCTTTACCGAAAAAAAAAACAGGGAAATATATTTTTTAAAAAATCAAATTAAGAAAAATTTATAATAAATCGGAAATTCCTCCCGATATTACTATTTTTCATTCCACGCTTCGCACCCTGGGCGTTTAGGAATGTTTTAAACAAAATTAAAATGGAATTGTTAATTTTCTTTTGGAAATGAATTACCTAATTTATTATCATTTATGTAAAATAAATGTGACAATGTAATAGATAACGTTTTGAATAAGTTATAAATAAGCTTTTTTTCACCATTATCTTAAAAAAATATTAAATATGAAATTTATTAAACTCTGTAAAAAGATTTCTTTTTCTAAATTAAAAGAAAATAAAGAAAAAAATAACAATAAAGAAAATAACAATAAAAAAATTGAAATTGAAAGGTTAACTATAATAAGTGGAAATAGAGAACTCGCCAAATTCCTTTCCAAATCTAAAGATGACAATTATATTGGATGGGTTCCTTTTAATGAATTCAAAAATGTTGAATATTTGGCTGAGGGTGGCTTTGGAGTAGTTTATAAAGCAACTTGGAACTCTAATGTGAAAGTTGTACTAAAGAAATTGTATAATTCTAAAAATAATGTTATAAAAATTTTAAATGAGGTAGAATTATTATTATATGTTTTATTTGCTTGTTTTGTTTTCTAAGGAAAAAATTAACACTCCTTTTATTTTTATTTAAATAATAGCTGGAATCATATTGTAAAGTTAACAGTAATTGTATTAATGATTGTTACGGAATTACCAAAGATCCAGATACAAGTGAATATATATTAGTATTTCAATATCTTGAGAATGGTGATTTACATAATTATTTGTTAAAATATTTTAAAGAAATTACATGGAAGTATAAATTGAAATCACTTAGAAATATTTTAGAAGGGTAAATTTTCAAATTATTATTATTATTATTATTATTATTATTATTATTATTATTATTATTATTATGATTATTATTATTATTATTATTATTATTTTACAATTACTAATACTACTACTTCCATTAATAGAATATTGCATATTCATTTAGCAGATTATGTTCATCGAGATCTACACAGTGGTAATATTTTAATTGGTTATCGTGGAACTTTTATAGGAGATTTGGGATTATGTCAGCCAAGCCACAAGAACAATAATTACTATTCAAATAATGACATTTCAAAAGAAATCATTGGAGTGCTTCCATACATTCCACCTGAAGTATTATTAGGAATGCCGTATACAAAAAAATCAGACGTTTATAGTATCGGAATGATCATGTGGGAATTTACCACTGGTAAAAAACCATTTTATGACAGACCACACGATGGGGTTCTTATATTAGATATTTGTAACGGGGAAAGGCCCCAGATAACTGAGGATACGCCTAGGAGTTATGCGGAAGTAATGAAAATGTGTTGGGATTCTAATCCGGAGAATAGGCCAACTGTTGGAGAAATTTATAAATATTTGAATAAATATCAAAATTTTAATGATCTCTCAGATTATGAAAAACAAAGCATTGAACTGGCTGAAGCAAAAAGACGTGAAATAATCCAAACTGAAAAATATTTATTAGAGGAACTAAGCTATAAACACCATCTTGGTGCAATCTATACAAGTAGACCGTTAGATAATTTAATAAAACAATCTTTAAATTATAGCACCTTTAGTTAACCCTAAATGTATATAAAATATTATTAATTAAAATAATGGATTTCTATGTAAATATTTTATTAATATTAATTTAGATTATTAGATTATTATAACATTTTTATTTTTCTGTGAAAAATAAAAATTTTCGTCACATATATTATTAATATTAAATTAAATAAAACAAGTTTTATATAAAATGATATACATCGTGTTATGAACTATCCTTCTGTTGTGTATGATCTGAACCCATGCCTTAAGATGCATCCTTTTTTAAGAATCCGGCGTAATTAACATTTGAAAAAATTTAATTCAATCAGATTTTTACATAAAATAGATCGGCGAGATTGTCATTGTCTACCTTGCTACATACAACATCCTCGCCGTTTACATCCTTGATACAAGACAAATTAGAAGACTTTTTTTTTTATTTAAAAAGGAAAATTTTGAGAGATTGTTAAAAATTAGTTTTCAAACAAAATAATTAACAATGTGATTACATTATTATATATTGTTTAAAAGAAAAGGGATTTATCGATGAAAAAAATTCATTCGTTATATTGTTTAATCATCTAATATTAGTACCAATTAATATTTTGAAAAAAAAGATTATCATCCATTACTATGTTTTTATATCTTTTTATGTTCAATTGAAACTTTTTTAAATTGTAAAAGACGCATAAAAAACGGGAAACTGATACTAATCGCTGAAAATGAAGGAAGATCTTTTTATCTTGGTTTCACTAAAAAATAGAATCAACAACAACTTTTTTAAAGACACGGCATCAAAAAAAATATATTCAAACCAATCAAATTGTCACTTAATTTCATATTACTATATAAAAAAAATGATGAACGAACGAATTAAAAAAAAATCTGATATTATTTTTTTAATATTCTAAAAGCGAACATTTTTGAGCAGAAGCCTAATATAATATGCTACAGATAGTAATATACAAACAATATGGTGTCCGGTTAGCTGCATTTGCAGAAGTTACAGAAATCCAAAATAACCATATGATTTATGTAACTTGAATTGTGTTACAACTTTAAGTTCAAAAATGATGAATATTTATGTTAATATTGTAATTTGGAAAGCAGAATTCATTTAAAAAAAAAACAAAGAGAATTAGAAGTATATTTCCAAGAAAAAAAAGAATGCATGCTTCTGTATCAGAAATATATATTAGTTCTCTAATTATTTTTTCTAATTAAAATAGTTTTCTTTTTGTAAAAATCTCATATTCCACAAAATTGAAACCTACTTGTCGGGGCGCTAATTATGCATCAATAATAAAGTATTCGATAAAAGTTGTATATATATTAATATTGTTTTTTTTTGTGACACAGAAAGACATGACTTTCTATAAAGTAAAATGCGAGGAATAATTTGATGGTTACAGCCAGAGTCCTGAATTGTTAGAGATTTTAAATGACAAACCCATTTTAATGTAAATTTTTGTGAAATGAAGCCAAATTCATATTACCGGTGAATGAAAGAGAATGGAGAATAAAAGTGAGATACAATTAATCTTTGAAGCATTGTAATTTAATAAATTATCATAATTATCATATATCTGCTTTAGTGTTATTAACTCTATTATTATTTAAAAAATTTAATAATATACAGTATATTCATTAGGCATTATTAAAACCATAATTTACTTGATATTAATTCTGCTAAATTTTTTGACAAAAACTTCATATAATTAACCGGTCAAGGTTTTTTGGCCACCAGTTCCAATCTCTAATATTAACAAGCTAGTAAATGATTTTTTAAAATATAAAAGCTCACAACACACAAATATACAGTATATTCCAATGTCTTCTATTCAATTGTTTTTTTTATATTTTTCTTGTATGTGCCATTCATAGTAATCCTGGTCATAGTACGCATAATAAACCTTTGGTTTTTCCATCTTTAACTTTAATAGGAAACAACTTTTAGTCTTTGCTTGAAAAAAAAAAGAATAACTTCGGGTTTTCGTTTGAAAAAGCAGAGGAAAAATAATAAATAATTAAATAAAACTCTGTGATAGAATTCATTATTTTTATTAAATAAAATTAATCTTTAAATAAACATAGTCTTCATTTTTCTTGCTTAAAGCGCATTGATAAAAGCAACAAGTGTAGTGCCTTGGTCAATTGCGTTTTATTTGTTTTAGTGAGCAAGCAAAGTCAGTACTAATAGTGAGTGTTAATGAAGTATCATCAAAAGATTAATTGGAAATACTGATAGTATTGTTGTGATCGTAAACGTAAGGCTATTGACAAGTTACTTAAGTTGTTTTGTAAATAAACCAATGAGAGTTTGCAATCGGCCAATAAATATAAGACAAGGAAGGGCAAACGACTGAAATAAATCAATTACAAGTGAACAAAAAGAACTTTTACAAAACCAAGGGGCTTTGTAAAAGGCCATCTTTAATGATTTACAGTTATCTGGCTGGCACCATTCAGTGTGTTTACATATTAGTCTAGGTAGAACCAAAGTAAATTCGCAAACTAATTAATTGACAAGCACCGAATTATTGTAATCATAATCAGCCGTACTTGTTAAATAAGCAAAATAATACTTTGCAACATCACCATTTAGCAAGAATCAAAACTGTAAAAATTTTATTATAAAAAGATAAATAATAAATTTATAGTGGAGATTAAATTAAGTATTCATCAATTCTTTCTTTTATTGCTAGAATCTAATGTTAATTAATTACTTAAAAACATAGTAATTTCCCAATTAATGTTAAAGAAGAGAGTTAAAATCAAGATTATTTAATGAACTATCGTTACTTGTACAACTTTTAAAGCTTCTAGATTTAACAATCTCTTCGTCTAATATTCTACTTGTATGATATTCATCTGGATGCAATTTGTGTGCTTGTTGTAAATCATCGCCACTAGTGTTGGTCGCCAAAACTATTTTGAAGAGGTGAAAGTCAAAACTAAAATTAAAAGTTATATGTCAAAACTAAATCAAAAGTCAATAGTCAAACATCAAAACTAGTTTCGACTTATGGCGAAACCTTTTGACTTTCGCACTGTTGCGAAACTCTCGAGTTTTGGAAACCAACACTAATCGCCACCACTGTTGCTACCATGGTTTTTGATTTTTATTAAACTATTATTCTTACTATTTTTCAAACTTTCAGTTGTAAGAATTTCTTCGCATTTTTTTATACCAAATTCACAAGGCTCTTCGTTTATGGGTCTTTTTGATGAATCCACATTCCAACACCTCTGCATCATTTGCGCATAATCATCAGGCATTTCAGGTAATATTGGTGGTCGTAAACCTTCACATATATCAAAAATTAAACAATGATGTGAGCTCTATCATCACAAATGGTGAGTGACCTGCAAACATTTCCCACATTAACATCCCAACACTATAGATATCAGATTCCTTGGTGTTCTTTTTGCCTCCAAGTAGCTCATGTGCAACATATGATACAATTCCATAAACTTTATCTGATGATTTTTCATCAACTAGTCCACATAATCCCAAATCTGTAATAAAACAGCCACCTCCTTGCAATAATATATTACCACTATGTAAATCACAATGGATTAAATCTTTTTTGTGTATATAATCTAATGATACACATAAATCTTTAAAGATGATAATCCTGTCTTTTAATGTCAAATTTAAATGATTCCTTGAATTTCCTTCCTTTAAATAATTTAAAACTATTGCATAGTTTCCATTATCTGGGAATTTAGTTATACCAAAACACTTAACAATCATCCCTGATTTAATTTTACAAAAATTCATCACCTGAAAATAAATATAAAACCAATTAATGCTATTATTTTCGTTTTAAATGACAACCACCAACCTCATCAAAAAAGCCTTTTTCTAGATTACTTGAATTGTTTAAATTTTTTAATACTACATTTTTTGCCTTCCAAAATAACTATATTCCTTCTTATTTTCATTGTAATCAAATATATAACCTCTTGTCCAGATAGCAGTATAAATTGAACTAAATCCACCTTCAGTTAACTTTGTTACTTCTTCAAATTGCTCAAAAGCTATCCATTCCAAGATATACTCTATTAGAGATGATTCAATTTGACATTGTTGAATAAAATTATCAATTATGATATTTCCAGATGTCCAAGTGGTGAAAAGGTTCAGTAATTGTAAACTGATACAGCCTTCACAGAATCTATCAGAGTATCTTGTCAATTTGCACTTGTTACATTCTTTTGGTTTGCCCAATTTATAACATGTGTATATAATCTAATGATACACATAAATCTTTAAAGATGATAATCCTGTCTTTTAATGTCAAATTTAAATGATTCCTTGAATTTCCTTCCTTTAAATAATTTAAAACTATTGCATAGTTTCCATTATCTGGGAATTTAGTTATACCAAAACACTTAACAATCATCCCTGATTTAATTTTACAAAAATTCATCACCTGAAAATAAATATAAAACCAATTAATGCTATTATTTTCGTTTTAAATGACAACCACCAACCTCATCAAAAAAGCCTTTTTCTAGATTACTTGAATTGTTTAAATTTTTTAATACTACATTTTTTGCCTTCCAAAATAACTATATTCCTTCTTATTTTCATTGTAATCAAATATATAACCTCTTGTCCAGATAGCAGTATAAATTGAACTAAATCCACCTTCAGTTAACTTTGTTACTTCTTCAAATTGCTCAAAAGCTATCCATTCCAAGATATACTCTATTAGAGATGATTCAATTTGACATTGTTGAATAAAATTATCAATTATGATATTTCCAGATGTCCAAGTGGTGAAAAGGTTCAGTAATTGTAAACTGATACAGCCTTCACAGAATCTATCAGAGTATCTTGTCAATTTGCACTTGTTACATTCTTTTGGTTTGCCCAATTTATAACATGTTTTCTCTAATTCAAAGTCATACAATATTTTTTTTCATTTTCAGAAAGATCATTTCATTCCGAATTTTAAATACAAAATTTGGCTCTTTCTGGTGATAAGAATTTATCAACATATGACATTATAAATAAATGTTTTTATACAAAATTTCAAAATTTTAATGAGAAAAAGTTTTTTGCAGATATTTAATTAATGGTGTGTAACAAACAAATATTCGGACGTACTCTAATTCGGATTTTTTAATGGATTTTTTAACAGTTAAATATTTTATCCAACATCAAAAAAATACATCATCACCAAACTCTAGTAACTTATGCTAGTGATTCAACAATAAACAGATTTTAGCATTATTTTGCTTCTTTTTATCACTTTTAAAACTTACAAAACCCGTATCAATATGCATATATTATTTATTATCAGAACAGAAGCCCTACACGAAAGCCAGTTCAAGCATGTTTTTATTTTATTACTATTAGTATTACGCATAGTTAACCTCAAAGTCAAAAATCAAAAAAAAACACGATTCTACATGCCAATTACTTTTTTCATTTGATGAAAGAAACGCTGTTGGAATTTGGACCTGGTCCGATTCTGTGAAAAAGTTTTTACAATTTCAATTAACAGTCAATGTCACAGCAGTAGTCTTGATGTTTATATCTGCTGTGTCAAGCAGTGATCAAAAGTCTGCTCTTACTGCTGTACAACGATTATGGGTTAATCTTATCATGGATACTCTTGCCGCATTTGCACTTGCTACTGATTCATAGACGGGTCGTCAATTAAAAAATTTTCAAGTGACAAGCGGTATTGCAAATTTCGTCACGCCGACAACTGACTTTGCAACACTGGTGACAAGAAAAGATTTAATACGACATAAAAAAATTTCTAATACAAGGGATATTTTGTTATAAAGTCCTTTCTTAAATTGAAGGATATTCGAAATATTAATAGTAATATTAATATTAGCTCTGGATATATAATAAAGCTAGGAATTTTCCACTTTCATAATTTTTAGAAAATATATGGCTAGGGACCAATTGAGTTTTTTTACGTAATAGTAATATGGATTACAACTGGTGAGAAATCAGACCATGCTTCCTTAGCACAATAGTAATAGTAATAATAATGAGATACAAGAAACTTGAAACATTATTTTACAGGGATCGTCACTCAAAAAAATTAATATTATGCCCTAATCATATTTTGCTAGAACATTGTTACTTTGTTTGAGTTTCCTGGTTTTCTACTACTCCATCCATTATTTGTTTACCACTCTCAATCTTTTTTAAAAAACGTTGTTAAATGTCGTTATTTGCCTTTAAATAATAATGCGCGCGATTGATTAAGAAAATATAAACACCAATGCTAACATTGATGCATTATTTCGATTAAATCTTTCATTATACCTTTCTTTGTACTAAGTTACCTTGTTATTACAGCTTCGTGAAACATAGATTTTACAAATTAGGAGGATATGAAACAAATAAGAACAATATTAAATATAAGGAATTCGTGCGATTTGTTTTTTCCATTCATTCCATATTTGTCTACAACACAATCATTCATTATATTTGGTTCATTTCATAGTAATGGATTTGATAGGTGAGTTTAAAATTGAGCACTCATAATTCGTCACACAGATTTCCGAAATAATTAAACAAAAAGTATAATATAAAGAACATTAAATACATGTAAAAAAAAAGAACAGAATTTACATTGAATGTAATAATAATACGAAATATTAATAAGTAAAATAGTTATAGCTTTGGTACAAAATCTTTCATCTCTAACTAATACCCTCGTGCACTTTGATTCCTAAAAAAAAGGTCAATAGCGAGGCGATTATTCCGATTACAAAATAATCCCACAATAAATTCCAAATCTCACGATTATATACATAACTTGATTCTCCAAGTCGTTTCCAAAAAAAAAAAAATAGAAAGTCACAAGAACCATTCATTAATATAAAAATACAAAAGTTTTTATCTAATTATTGATTAAAAAAAAGATTCGATTATAATAAAAATGAATAATAGGTCTGACACTATAGTATCTATTGGAGAAGATTTAGAAAAAGATTATGAAATATTTAGTAGTACAAATATTGATAACGCTCATCACAATGATAAATTTATTCCACACAATAGACGTAGAATCGATCAAATCATATCTAGTTCAGATTCCAAATATTTTGTTACTCATAGTAAAGAAGATGAATCTATTATTGGATGGTCAGTTGAGGGAATAATTAAACAAAGCAAATGTTTGAAATATTCTGAATATAAATTTTTAGAAGATCCAAATCCAGATATATATATATCTCGAACACTTGATGATAAATTTATGATTTTTAGTCATCGTTCTTATTCCGATCAAAGTGAATATTATTGTAAGTATTATCATATACAAACAGTAATTCTAATTTTTTTTTTATGAAAATAATACTTAATATAAAAAATTTTTTATAGATTTCCTTGATTTTTTCAAAGAAGAATTTCTTCCAATTCAGACTAAACAAAATGTTAATTTTAATAATGGATATTTCCTTAAAATTAATGAATTCATAATGGAGGATGATTTTGGAAATTTATATCTATTTTCATATATAAGCGGTATAAATCAAGTGGTTCATAAAGCAACATATAGTCTTTCTCATTCTAAATATTATGATTTTTTCTCTGTTGATGATAATAATGTTTCAATTGCTGCAGATAACAAATTACTCTCAAAAATAAATAATGTAACTTTTTCATTTGATAAAAGTTATTATTTATTACTTAACTATACTAGAATAGATTTTAACAGAAATAATATGTTAATGGTAACATATAAAAATCCTAAAATAGTAGTTTATTCATTAAAAAATAATATTATTATTTCATCATGTAAGTGTTGGTAATTAACTTTAAAATATTATATAATTTTATAATTTTATAAATTGACAATCTATATTTTTATAATTTGTAGGTAAATTAAAAAGAGAGATTATTGACATTAAAAAATTAGATTTTGTTTATACAAAAGATCAATTAGAATTTTTATTATTAATATTTTTTGACACCAATAGTGGCAAATATCATTGCAGATTAATGGATCCTTATAATCTTGAAAGTTTTATAGATATTACAGATTATTTTTATGAACATATTATAGAGAATACAAACGAGTCTATTTTATTTGGAAAATCTTTCTCTCATGGTAAAATAGCTTTGGCAATTAGTGATCAATTATTAATTAAAGATGTCATTAATGAAGAAAAATTAGATATTCAACAAATAAGTTTGAGGAATAATTATGATTCATATTTATGTCAAACACTATGTGAAATTTATAAAATACTTTTGGATGAAAAATATAAAACACCATTGAAATTTGATCTTGAACCTGCAAAAAACATTAAATGGCTAGTAGATTATGATGATAATAATTTTAAAAATATCAGTATAAAAATTCAGGAATCAAAGGGTGGATTGGAAAGGGATTGGAAAACAATTGATGAACATCATGTTGGAAAAAGTCAAATTTTTAAATATTGTAAAGTATTAAACAATGGTGATTTATTAATACTATCACATTTATATATAAAAGTTTTTTCATATAATAATCAAAACTTTAAAATATACTTAAAATATCTAAAGTATGATATAGAATATGGTAAAGAAGATTTATCAAAAAAAGTTACATTGTTGACAGATAAGAATAATAACGTTGAAGAATTTTTATATAATTTTAAACATGTTTTGAGTGACAATTTTCCAGCTTCAAAAGAAATGCTCTCTTATATGTTAGATGATTTTTATTATTTTACCAAATTTGGAGAGTTAATTCTTAAGGAAACATTTGAAAGAAATAATAGTATTGTCATGGAAAGAATACTTGATTGTACTCTTGATTATTTTAAAAAGGATGCACACTCAAATATCAGCTTATTAAAAATAATTATCTCAGAATTACCAAAATTTAAAAAATATCCTCGATTAATATCAAAATTCTTTAGTCAAACATCAATTGTATTTTGTTTTTATGAAGAAGAAATGACTTCAAGTGATTTTTACAACGCCAGTGTTCACGAAATAAGGCTTCGGCGGCGTCATGATGGAAATATTTTTTGGGATTTTTATTATTTTTATAAAAACAAATTTATAAATGAAAAACTTCATAATATCTCAAATAATGCTAAAATAGAAAAACCTTTTGTGAAATTAATGGTCCCGTATGTTGGATTTATCAGTTATGATAAGAATTATTCATATTGGAAAGAATTATTTTATAAACCGACAAATAATATATTTACTCGGTTAGATACTTTGGAAATATATAAGCATTGGAATGGTCAAATTATTTTGGATTTCAAGTGGAATGCCTTTGGACTCAAATATTATCTTGCAATTTGGTTAATATATATGGTATTTTTGTCAAGCTTTGCTCTTGCAACAACTATTTTACCAGATGATTTATCTGCTGATATCAGAAATCCATTATTAGTTGTATCAATTTTTCTTGGGTTGTTTCATCTCAATTTTGAAATTAGACAATACATCTGGAATCCAAGAAAATACCTTACAGATTTTTGGAATTATTTTGGTAAGATTTACATTTATAATAATAATAATAATAATAATATTTTATTAATCTTAAAATTACAACTACTCAATAGATATTGGAGCTTATACGTTACCAATTATCACTTCAATTTTTTTGTTAATTGATGTAAATTCACCACCTAGGCAATTGATCTCAATATCAAATTTATTATTGGATTTAAAATTCATGTTATTTTTACGAACTTTTAAATATTTTGGAGTGTATTTTGCGATAATTATAGGAGTTGCAAAAAAAGTTTTTTCTTTTTTAGTGATTCTGTTTGTAATCGTTTTAAGTTTTGCGCATGCATTCTTTATATTGTTGAGACCAATTGAAGAGTTTGATATAAACAAACCTACTACCAATGACGATGACAACAATCCTTGGAATCTTGTTAATAAATATTCTGCATATTTTGCAGATAATGATTCTTATAGTCAATATCCATATTTTATCCAACAACCCGACGAAACCACCAACATGTTTGCCAGATATAATACTTCAATGCTAGCAATGTATAATTTCCTTGCAGGTAACAATGTTTTCTTTTAATATATCATATCGTTTTATTAATATAGTAATGAAATTAATAATTAATGATTTTTTTTTTTTTTTTTTTTTAATAGGCGATAATGGAGCATTTGGGCCTTGGCCATTACAAGATGATCCTTATCTGGCATTTCTATTTGTTGTATTTTCATTTGTGGTTGTAGTGTATCTTATGAACCTGTTCATTGGTCTACTAAGTAACGCAATTGAAGAAAATAATTCACAGGAAGTTTTCTTGTCCCAAAAAGCAAAGATCATCACAGAAATTGAATTATTTTATTTGCTTCCAAATCAACGTCGTTGGAAAAATTGGTTTCCTGAGATATTGTAAACATAACTTATTTGATCAAATTAATGAATTTACTATTTTACTTTTAAAACAATCGTATTAATTGTAATTTAATTATTTTTTATTCATTAGAACTTATAACGTACCAGTTGAAGACGTTCGTAAAAAAATCAAAGAGATTGATGATAGTGATGAAGATGCTGAACTTCTACCATTCATTTCTGATGAACTTAGAAATTACGTTGATGTCCACAAACCAGACAATATTCATTCAAAATTCGAAGCTATTGAAAAGAAGATTGAACAAAACGAAACTAATCTTAAAAATGATCTGAAGAAAATAGAAGAAAATCTTAAAAATGAATTGATCCAAAATAATAATCAATTACTAATGCAAATGCAAACTTTAATGAATGAAATCAAAGCTTTAAAAAAATAATTGTTGTTATTATCATTAGTTGATTGTTTTTTCTTAAAAAAAATTGTAATATTATTTAATAGAATTTTAGAATAAAAATTTATATTAATATTTTTTGTTGTTAATTTAGAATGATCAACAACACACACAAGGCGGAACATCCATAATTGGGCGTTTCGTTGTAACGTAAATATTTACTAAATATAAATATAAATGACAAATCCGTAACGGCAGTATAATTTTATTACCAATTGTCAATTAACACTAGTACATATAAATCTATTTCGTTATCATATGTCAATAATAATAAATTTATGCCTTCATACCCACAGGTAAAGGGCACAAGTAGTGTATCATAATGCATACGCGATTACTTTTTTTTCTTCTTCATTTAGCAATTTATTAATTTATTAAAACTAAAAATTGCCAAACGAACTCACTCTCTTCTAAATGAGATGGGTGAATGAGTAATTAAAACAGCTTTCAAATATTATAAAAAGAATCCTTGAAAAAAAAAGCGTAATATATATATACTTGGTATAATTTGAAAATCTTTATATTTAATATCAATATCTCTCCCCTCCCCTTTGCTTGCTGCCTAATTGGAATTACCACATTTGAAGCCCAAGTGATCATTATATCAAAACATTTATAATAATATTTTCTTTTCTTTTCTATATTAGAAATTAAAATTTTAAATTTAAAAAAATTTGATCAAAAGAAATAGATAACCATAACATTTATTTCGGTGGCTTTATGCTTAATGCTGGAGAACATTTGCCTTTGGTGACCATTGGTGACAAAGTAATTGGACATAAAAGGAAGCTTCAGCGATCTCTTTCAAAAAAAAACAAAGAATCCAAATCCATTTTTTCATTACATTATAACCTTTGGTCAATGAAACCTTTTTTTAGAAAAAGAATAGTTTGAATAATGTCTATGTTTTCTTTTCAATAACTTGTATTATTATTATTTTATTTTTTTTTCGAGTGCCGTAGAAAACATCATTAGACTCGGAAATAGATTATATCGATGCGAAACTCTCCCCCCAAAAAAAATAAATGCGAATGCTTCAACCCCTGTTTATAGCCCTGCCTATCACGTTTCAACCCAACTCAATTAATATCCAATTTGAACATATTTATTTTGAAATATCAGAAAACAGGAATACAAATGATTCGTTTGACTCGTGATAAAAATCACTAATTGTGAATAAAGTTAATCTAAAAAAAATAATCGCATATTCATTGTTCCGTATCATCCACATATTTTGTTAAAACTCGATCCACAATTACACTAAAGTTTGGCGCCACCAACAAAGTTCAGGAAATTTATTTATCTTATTTCCGTATCAATAAAAATGAATTCATTTTATTGTACCTTTGCGAAACATGATTTTAATTTATATATAATAATAAAAGAAAAGAAAAAAGCAATCAATCAATTGAAATAAATGGAAAGTCTGTGTAAGCATTACCTTCCAATAATGGAATCCTAAAATCAAAACAAATTATTAGGCAGGTTTAATCAAGTTGTTTCTAAAACTAATGATTCATTGCTAGTACTATATAGTAATAATTGATTTGGAATTTCTGAAGTTAAACTTCCCCACTTTGAACTATATTAAATGCTTATTTCACGTGACTTACATCTAGATAAAAATTTTTTTTTAAAGATTATAGATATTGCTCACATACGAAAGAAAATCTATTTTAGATGAGCACTTGTAAATTCCAAGCACCAGAGAGGAAAGAAGCATATTTTACCAAATTTGCAAAAATTGACAATATCTGGTGTGATAGGTTTTCAAATTACAAAAATATTCAAACATGCGCTTTCTAATAAATCCATTGAAATATTTAATGTTTTATTTAATCTATTAATTTCCATTTACATTTTTGCATTTTGGGCCATCTACTTTGAGTATTTGCATTTAACGAACTTGATTTTACTGGTTTTTGCAAATTTAAATTTTCTCTCAAAATGGAATTTCAAAGGTTATGGATATGCTTCAAAATAATGAATGTAATAAATTATAAAAAAAACTAGTTTTTTTGTGATCAGGTGCATGTTTAGCACTAATACAAAATCAACAAAAACCTAAAATTACTATTATTCGATATTTCTTTACCGAATAAAAAAATCATCGTTTTTGGATACAGTGTAATATTTGTCAATTGAACAAGTTTTTGTCAATGACTATTCTATATTTCTGCGAAACACGAAGCGAAAACATTAATGTCATTTTTGAATAGCGTACGTAGCTTTACTTGTTATTAGAGAATATTCATTGGAAACCTTTAACGGTATAGTTTCGTTTTGCTTTAATAACGGAGTTCGTGGTTGTTGTTATTATACGATTCAAATACATATACATGATAGATAGCATAGTAAACTAAAGAATATAATAATAATAGATAAGTTTACTTGTTAGATTGAAAAGTTCATTATAATACCATATTCAATTTAGTTTCCAAACTTTTCAACCACTTTACCGAACAGTTTTGTTTTCGTTACATTATTCTTTATTTATTTTATTAAATACGCCCATCTATAACATTCCATAAAAGGAACTCATTTTACTTTTAAAAATAAATATCATTATTTAATGCAAGATTGAAGTTGAATGATCGATACATACAAATAATTAAATTGTCAAAAACTTTCTTCTTACAAAAATGATCAAATCAATTATCTTCTTCGTACTCTTAAATGCATTGATCAATTTTACATATGCTCAAGTTGATTGTAATGCAATGGCTGGTTACTGGTCTGCCATTGCTCCTGGTCTTGATCCATGTTCAGCTTGTGGAAAAGCACTTAACAAATACTCGATCTTTCGCTACGAAAACTACCCACTAAATAATAAAGGACCAATTACTGATGATAAATGCCAAGTGGAATATTTATTCAGTTATTACGTTAATACAGGCAACTCAAAAGAAATGGCTTTAGATACAACTTGTAAATCCACTGAAAATGGATGCATTACTAATCATGTTATAGAAGCTTATACAGAAGTGAGTAATGCCTGTAATGCTCAATTGAATACGTATAACAATGGCAATAATGATATGGCTGGAATGATAGCTGAAAGAACTATGTTTGAATTTTATGTTGCTCAACCCATGAGGAGTTATTACTGTAGTAAATCAGGGAACGGTAGGTTTATTATTCATAATTTCGTCAATCAATTGTTTTTCTTAAACTGGCACAATAAATTTGATGAATATTTTGTTTAATTATTTAGAATATTGCTACATCAAAAACAACGAACCATATGTGGAAGCAAATTACAAAACTGCAATAAATCCATATAATCTAAATCGTTTTGCAAAGCTTTTCAAAAATAATGAATGCTCCATAAAACTTCATGCCGAATTCAAAGACTATTTCTCAACACCTCCTGCAAATCCCAATTTGCTAAAAATTTTTAATGTCGTTGATTCTGCTATAAAAAATTTTGCCCCCTCACCCACTCCCACTAATAATCCCAGTAACAATCCCGACACCAGTCACACTTCTGGCACCAGCGCCAGTCCTACTAGCACTAAATTTTCCACTTTGCCTCCCTCTCCCACATCACCACCACCGCCAACATCAAAGGGACTCAATATTATATCGGTTTTTGGAGCAGTTTTTGTGGTAGTCGGCTTTGTGGTAGCAAAAGTTGGCATGTCGAAAACCAACACTAACTCAACAGTAAATTCCCCCGTAAATGCAAATATTCCTGCAGATACAGCAAATATTCCTGCAGATACAGCAAATATTCCTGCAGATAAGAGAAATATTCCTGTAGATAAGGAAAATATTCCTGCAGATACAACAAATATTCCTATAGATACAGTAAAGATTCCTGTAGATATAGAACCTTATGTTATGGTATGTATTCAGAGTCACAGAGTCAATTTTTGCATATTGCACATTACTTAACCAATATTGTGCTGTTCCATTATATATAATCAGCCTGTCAAAAAACCTATTTCTCAACAACCAACTAAAAAGGCAGTTACTCGTCAATCACCATCGATATATGATATCTTCCATACCCTTCAATTTTTTGTAACCGTGGCTCTAGTTTCTTTGATCCATCTTTCAGATAATTATCGGAATTTGGCATCTCAACTTGGATGGTCATTTGGTTTGCCAAATGGTCTAGACATTAAATTTCTGTCTGATATTGCAGATGAGAAAATACGAAGTGCAATATGCTATATTATTGATACTACTTATATCAGTATAACTAGCACACTGGGAACCGATCCAGAATTAACTAGTAGGACTGGGTTCGGGAGTTATGCAAAGGCGTTAAATATTCCAGCATATAACTTATTTTTTGTTATGCTTATCACATTCTGTTCTGCAATGGCAATTGCAGCTGTTATTGCATCATTGGCTGGGTTGGCTGCATGGTTGTGTAAATTCTTATGGAAAAAATGGCCTATCTTAAAAACGGTAGCAAATAATATTCACTTTTTGGTGCTTGGTAAGTCGAATTCCAAATGCATTATAATTTATGTAGGCGAATATTGATAACAGGAACTGACATTTTTCTGATTTCTCTTTTTTATTATCAAGGTGGAATTCTACGTGTAGTAAGTATTAAATAATAATTTGTGGTGTTTGTGAATTTAAGATGTAATTACAAACCTTTTTATCATACTTTATTTTCCAGCTGTTACTATTTTACTATCCGTTAACAGTTTTCTCTTCTTATCAACTATCACTTAACAATGACTGCTGGTTATTTCTTGTACTTTCCGGATTTTGCATATCATTCTTTTCTGTTTGTGCAATAGCCTTTTGTAGCTACAAAATTTTTCTTGATTTTATTAAAAACCAGGACGAATTCGAGAAACCAGCTCACACTTTCCTTTATGGCTCGATCTACAATCAATATCGGAATCACACAGATGCGAAGGAAACTCGCATCTGGTTTTTCACATTAATATTCACTTGTGATTTTATTCGAGGCATTGTCATTGGATTGGGTCAAAATAGTATCGCTGCACAAATTGCTGCGTTGTTTTCAACAGAAATAATATGCTTTGCCTTACTACTATATTTCAGACCTTTTAAAACACGAACAATGAACTGCTTGAAAATATGCATATCATTTTTGAAGTTTGCAATTGTGTGCATGTTGATACCATTCTTGAATGGTCCTAACGATAGCCTTGAAATTGTGATAGAATCATTTGAATTTGTTATTTTTGGAATGTTAATTGGTGTGATAATTTTAAATGCAATTCTTGGAATTCGAGACCTCTTTGCTAAAAAGAAAAAGAACGAAGATGTAGATAAATAAAGTAAGAAATTCCTGGAGATAACATGTTTTTATTCACTTTTTTTATAATAAAATTTTTTAAAAAAATTAAACCATTTAACTTTTTGTAATTTTTAAATAATTCATAATAATAATGTAAATCATATAAATTATGTATGTAAATTATCGACTATATTTATATTAACAGTTAATTTTTAAAATAAATTATTTAAATTTTAATATAAATATAATAAATAATAAATATTTTTCCTCTTGATGCCGCGTAACAATTCTTTCTGTAAGTATATAGCTTTAATGCCTTTTTAGGATATTGCTATTACTAGGGAATTAAGTCGTGATCACATATAGATAGGACCACATGCGAAATTGTGTAAATATTAATATTAACATTACATATATTATTATATCAAAGCGATAAAACTATTTTTTAAAATTAATTTTTCATATATAGTAATCGTGTTAAACTTAAACTCTTGTGCTAAAAAAACCCTGTTTCATTCATTATTACCTAGGTTATCTAGATTACAAAAAATAGAGTTATTATTATTTTTTACAATTTCCATATTAATATGGTTTTCGATCCTTAGCATTTTAAGGATCAGCAACCAACATTTTTTTTTTAAAAAAAAAAATAAATGGCAGAAGTGAACCGATTGATAAAAGTCAACATTTCATTGAAAGTTGGTCATAAATAAATGACATTTCATATAACGATAAATGGTTTTAGCACGTTACGAAAAAAATAAATAAATTTGGAAATAAATTAAAATAAGAAGACTTCTTTCATTTTATGAAATGAATAAAATTTCTCCAGTCTTCAATAATAGTAGTAATAGCACACAATCCCCATAAAGTAACGCCTGATCTCTTCGCATTCAAAGTAAAGGTGGGCTTTACTTAGAAAGATCCTTTAGATCTAAAAATATTCGTTAGAAAGCTTTTAATGGATAAAAACAAGTTGTTACACGGTCCGAAGATTCTATCTAATTAACTAATTAATTTTGCAACACAAACAAAAAAACCCATTTCAATTTTTTTATCACTCATTTTTTTTAAAACAATATAAATATTATAAAAATACAATACAAATAAAATTTACATATAAACTTACCTACAATGAACCAGCCATATCCTTCAGCCGTAAGCTTTACGAATTAGAAAGCTTTCAGATTCTTTCCTTTATTCAAAGTTTTCATTTTTTTTTTTTTTTTTCTTTACAAATAGATAAACTACCCGCAAATACCACCACCACCAAGATCTCCAAATTTATCACCATCCAAGTCAAACCCAAGAAACAATCCAATAATAGACTTAATAGAAACAGAAGAAAAATATGTGGAAGATTTAAGATGTTTATTAAAGGTTTTTTTAATTATTGAATGTTCAAATATCGATTATATGTATTTATTTATGTCTTGACATTTATTAAAAAAATAGCGAGTTACTAAAAGCTGGGACCGTAATAATCCTCCACCTCGTGAATTAGATTCCATGTTTCAACTTGTTGATGAAATTTATGTACAAAATAGTAATTTTTACAATGTAAGCGTTGTATTCATTACTCTTTCCTTATATATACGTACGATAAATTAAAATTATTAAATATACATATATTTAGCATCTTAATAATATAGGATTAGATCCGCAATATTTAACAGAATTAGCAGAAATATTGATTAATTGGGTAAAAATCAAATTGTATATATTTGTAATGCGTTTGTATTTATTATATATATATATATATATTAATATTTTTACAATATTTTAGGTGGATCAAATGGAACCTTCTTATACAATTTATTGTAAACAGTTTAGAAAAGGTTTTGATGAATGGCCAGAAATTGAAGAGAATTTGGTTCTGCAACAAACATTGAATGTAAAGAGAAGTTTGGATTAGAATTAATTTTTTAATAATGATGTTTAAAATAAATATTAATAATTTTATTGATTAATTAATTAGGACATCTCTGCTGAAAAGAATCGACCAGTAGACTTGAATTTTTTTTTCGAAATGCCATTGAAAAGATTACATTATTACAAAAAATTATATATGGTAAAAATTTTGATAACCAATTTCCAACATAAATATAACAAACTCAATTAATAATATTTTCCTTCCACTTTATAATTAATTCTTAGCGGCTTTTGAGAGGTTCAGAACCTGGTCGGAAAGATTATAATCTTTTAGCAGAAGCCAATACACATATTGATGCACTTATAGAATTAGAAAAAAAACATGCTAAAGGATCAAACATAGATCCGAGACCAAAAAGAAGAGAAATTGATCAAAACGAAATTGATGATGATAATGTTGACATGCCATTACCAGTGCCACAAACAGTAAAATACACAGTTATCAATCCATTAGATTCTCAATCTGACTTAGAAACCCCCTCTTTACCACCACCAATACCGCAAGCGGTAAAATATACAGTTATTG